GTGAAGCATATGTCAGGGGACTGCTTGGGAGGATCTTTGAACTTGAACAGAAGTCAGAAATAGTTAGCCAACAAGAATCTAAAGAATTCAATTCAGAAGGTATCAAATTTATCTTTCCCCACAAGTGACCCAAACCATAATTATCTATAGATAAAGTTCTCTGAAAACAAATTATAGCACAACTAAGCAAAAAAGACTTTCTTCTCAATGTTTTAGTTTCTTAATGGTAGAACTTGGTTAAATAAAACTTCTTTGCTTCCTGTTATGTAGCTTGATCGACAGTATTTCATGTTCTTATCTACTTCAAAGATGATTTTTAACAGCCTTGGTGCTTTATTAGCAACCTCTCTGTTTGCGGAAATTGTTGAGGCAAATACATGTATGTCTCCCACCCTTCAAAGTACACTTCCAACCTATGTAATAGAAGCATTAAGGATTTATTAGCTAGGTGTGGATCACGGGTTTTAATTTTTCAAAATAAATATTATAAAAATGACTTGACTACCATGTTCTTTACTCACCTGAACAGTTCTTACAGGGCATGAAAACCTGTGGTAGGTTATGGCATGTATCCAAAATAGTTTTGCAATATGGATCTGGCCACCTCTAGCTCGCTTCCGTGCTATGTAGTTCCTCAATAATAAGCACCTTCTCAGTACCATGCATTCAGATTGACTTGAGTTGTGCTTGACCAGCATGTGGAATAAAATTAAAGTCATGTTGAAAAGAAAAACCAGGAGTTGGCTTGCTTTTCTTATTATCAAATGATTAATCTTATATATACTGCAACTGACCTGCAAGGTAAACTCACTAAATAGAGCTAGTATCGTCTGAAGTAAGAGTATGCCCACAGATGCTTACCACTTAGTAATTCATGTGCAGTGGCTTGGTTTCTGTATTACTGCTTGAATCTTTATGGAAAACAGTAAAATAAAACCTTGGTTTGGTGCTGTTTAGGAATCCATGAACAGTATTTTAGAGGGAGACAGACTGAAGTAGCTCACCAGGAAATGTAACTCGAGAGTTACTATAGTCAAAGTTTTATTGTCAGAGCAGCCGTGAGACTAGGAGTAAGGGTATAAGAAAGTTCCTCTCTTCAAGCAGCTAGACAGTAGGAGAGATCCAAGTTTCTAAGAACCTAGCTATACAAGTTGAAAGTAGATATGACAACTTTTTCCATGGAAAAACTTGGTATGTCTCTGAAAATATCAACATTGTATAAAGGAGAATTGCTAAAGAGAAGGTAAGGCTTAGCTCATAGTTGAGGGGAGGGAGAACAGTCCAGCAAGAAACTTTCCCTAGTAAATTCCACTTTGATACTTTTCCTATTGAAGGCTTCCCTTCATTCTTCAAAGTTAAGAAATTGACAGTGTCAAAAATCAGCAAAGCCTGTGAAATTCTGCATTCCTTGTTCTGCTTTCAGGTATATTTTGTATTACTACTGAATTTCTCCAGACTGCTTCCTTTTTTTTTTTTCCTACTTGCTAAACTTTTCTTGGGTTGACAAGGAGAAATTTTTCAAGCTCTGGTTTAAGTAACAGTCACTAGCCAAGAAGCAGGTATTTTTTTTTTAATCAAAACCCCCCTACCCTAGTCCTTTTTATTTGCAATTTAGAAGTAAATAATGGCATACAACTTGAAGATAGTCTGCAAAAGGCAGTGGATAGTCTGGCTTTGGTCAGCAGTGGTGAAGTAGAGCCCATCATATCTCTGGGGAGGGAGTAACGCCAGAACCTTGGCTAAGGAGCCTAAATCTGGAAGTGAGAATCTAGTGTCTTTGGCCCTTGATTGCTATGCATTGGTATAATGCATAAGGCTGTACAAGAACTGTGTGTATGCCATGGAGCCTGTGTAGTCAGGGCAAAGGGTATAATATTGCTGTGAGGGTTAGTAAAGGACGTGGCTGTAGCACAGAAAATGATACAGAAGCCAAGTTGTGGTTTTCTAGTAACTATATTGGAAAGGAGGCTTTTCTGCATTAGAAGTATTTAAAGCTGTTTTAACTAAAGTCTGGTGCTGGTCTGTGCTGTGTGATAGCCTAGAATGTCAATCAGCCTTAAAATGTTGTCAAGGATTTGGTGTTCTGATTAAGTGATTTTTTTTCTCCCACATTACTTATTTCTTACTCATTAAGGTCTTCTACCAGAAGAAAAGCAAAAATACTATAACCAGCTATTATTAACTGCTAAGAGTGATCTTGAGACTGAAAGACACACTGTAACTCAGCTGAGATCTGAACTTACTGAATTCAAAAAGAAGTATGAAGAAACCCAACAAGAAATAACAAGTTTAAATGCCTTATTGCAGTCACAACAGATTGCTGAAATGCAGACTCTAGAAAATGAAAATAAAGTGAAAGGAGAGAAAGTACAGAGACTAAAACAAGAAAATGAAACTATTAAAAGACAGCTCAGAGAAGAAAAGAAAAAGTCTGAAGATCTTTTATGTCAGGTAAGTGGATGCGTTTGGAGGTTTAAGATCATTAGCAAAGAGAAGACCTGAAAAGTCATACTTAATCAGAATGGACCATCACTCACTCACTCTGGTAACTGATCTTTATGTAGATCTAGACTCATGTCCTTGTGGTTAAAACTGAATTCTTTTTTTAATATATATGTTTAAATCAAAATCTAAACTTCTGTGAAATTTCCTTGTTTAAACAAGGAATTCATTTGTTCACTTATTTTCCTGGTCTTGTGTGACACAAGAGGGAGAGGTGGGAGAATACTTAATTGATTCTAATCTAGTTCATCTTCAAGGTTAATAATAAATGAGAACAGGAAAGGTAAAAACCCATACAGGCTATTTTATCATGCGGTCCTAACTATGGAATATCACTGATATTTGCTGTCACCTGGCTGCTACAAATATACATGTGGGCTTGTAGTTTCATACTTGCTGGATAAGCAGCTGTGTCCCTGGATGGTGCCCCCAGCCAACTAACCAACCATTGTGGCTGTGCAGCTGGGTTTTCTGTTTCTTTTAATTCAGACAAGTTCCTGTGTTTGGTTCTCTCTGTGATGCCATAGATAAGAACCCATGTGGGTGTACCTGAGTATTAGAAAGCAATGGCCAGATAAGCAAGGGAAAAGATGGACCTTAAGCTGTCACTGTTTTGAAGACAGCTATGGAAGAAACCACAGAGAAGAGTTCTGTAATTCCCTATAAGGCCTAAGTGCCTGACAGGCAGGCTGTTCAATATGTGTGGTTTACGCTGTTGCTAGATCTGTAATAGTCCGTTGTTTCTTCTTCTGGACGTGAAATCATGATCACACATCTGTTCAAGAGAAACTGGAAAGTCCTCCTTGAAGGACTGTCCTCAGGACATCCAAGCAAGATGGACTTGCTACTTGGAAAAGTTTGGGGTCAATAACACAGCAATGTAGAACAGAAATTTGAAATATGAGAATAAAACTTACTAGGTACCAAAGTAGGCTAAAACCAGAACAGTGTAGGCCTCTAAACACAAGTTGGGTTCTCACTGGTTAATAATGATTAAAAGGTGTTGATTTTTTTTGCAGCTGAACAGTATTCACCATAAAAGTTGATACAAGTTGATAACAAGGATGTTTTTATGTATGCATTTACTTAATCTATTATAGGATAGTATTTTCTGAGTTTTAAACTTGTTCTATTTAAAAAAAAAAAAAAAGCTTGTTTTTTTGGTATCATAGCATATCAGTGCAAGCATAGGTTTTGTGTGTATACTTTTTGTCTGCATCCTGGCAATCACCTAGGAAAGTTCAGTTTGATTTTTTTTTTTGAACTGTAACATCATCTTGTATTCCCCTGCTCAATGCAATAATGTTTCCCTGGGCTTTTCCCCAGGGAAATAGAGATACTTGAATTGGGTTTGGCTGTTGCATAACAGGCATATGTTTTCTGTTGGCATTGGAATATGAAAGTTTACTTCTATCCCTTTTTAGATTCATTATGTTATGCTTATTAACTGTTGTATATGGAAGTTGTTTGTTACAGATGTTTTTCTGCCCTGTAGGTGCAACTTCTTCATAAATCATTGTTCAAACAGCAGGAGGAACACACTAGGATAGCTTTGTTGGAACAACAGGTACCCAATTATATGCTAAGATGCTGATACTTAATCTGTATTACGCATAAAGGCTTTCTAGACTAACTTCAAATTTAAGCACGAGTAGTATATTAAAGTAATATTAGACATGAATATTCAAGTGAATAATATTTTTATGCTCCAAAAATTTTGACGCATATGTCAAGATGAAAATCTGTAACCTTTTACAGTTAAGAGGGTGTGATCAAACATGATGCTGTTTTTTCCACAATCACTCATTCAACTGTACAGCCTCAGATTAGGTATGGGAAATATCCTAAAACCAATCAACTCATTGAAGTTTTATAATATACCGTTGATAAAGTTGTACAAATAATTGCCGTATTTTCCATCTTTATTTTTCCAAGTACATTCTTACAGATCTAATTGGTGTTATTGAAAAAAAAGTTGCATTTATTTGCTAAGCTTGGGCATACAGTGTTACCCTTAGTTTCTGTCCAAATTATGTTGCTACAAGAAAGATTCTGGAGTAGAAACTGGCATTTTAATGAGAACTTGCATGATCTGTGTTTCTATAAAATCTTCAGTTTAAGATTGCAAGACAGCTTGAAATACCCTCCAACCAAAATAACTTCAAACTTCACCTCTACTAAGGGGCATGACTTTCATAACTGGGCATGTATGAATTTCACTGTAGTGAAAGCAACAACTGACTTTTTAAATTTTATTTTTAAATCTCATTTTAGGATATGATTGCAGAGTAAAACTTACTTTAAATATATAAAGGGGAAACATTTCTTTCTCTCTTCCTCACCCCCCCACCCTCCCCAATTCTTAATAATTCTGACTTTAATTCTGTAACTTTCACTTTGGGGGGTTGCCAGATCCAGATATGCACCACAGACTTTGAGAATGAAAAGCTTGATCGCCAGAACTTGCAGCATCAGTTAAACAAAGTCCTTAAGGAACTGCGCAAGGCCAGGGAGCAAATAACCCGTCTAGAACCTTTGGTATGTACTGAATAACTTGCAGGTGAATTTAGTCAGGGATTTTGCGTAAATGTACATTTTTTTCACTTTGGAATCTTATTTCCAGTATAGTGAGTCTTCTGTTAATGTCATCAGCTATTCAGTGTGGGTCCTTACGTCCTTCAGATATTTGGCCCCAAGGTGCAGAACCCTATGTCAACTAGCTAGGCATTGTTTTCTCTACAGCATGCATGGAGAACCGGTACTGCAGAAAGACATCCAGAACAGTCATGTTGCTGAGCAGGGAATGTGTTGTGATACAAAATACAATTGTTGTTTAGTTCTGTCTCTTGCACAATGACAAAGCTGCAGTATGCTTCTACTCGGGTTTCCTGCTAGTGAACAGGACGCAATCCCTACATATAGCAGTTCAATCCCCCATGTCCATCTGATACAGGATGTGTGGGTCATCAAAACCTGTGTTTTTCATTTCCTAAAAGACAAGCTCCCTACTACAATGAAAAAGGACATTTGTTGTATTGTGAGGACTGTGGTCTGTTTGTTTATTCTTAATCCCAAAGAAAGCCACCTAGATTTGAGCCCTTGACTTAATGGAGAAATTTGTAGGGAAAGATTAAGTATTAAGCAAGCCATTGATCTGTTTTGCTCTGTTGTATCCATGATTGCCCTGGTCTTAAGCAACTTGGAAGTATTTCCTCAGGTGAGGAAGGGAATGGAATGACTCCTGAGATACTGATGTTCTTCACTCATGTGTTGCCCCTGGGAGAGCCTCACTTGCTAGGATTGCAGTTGCTGCTGCTGGCAGGGGAGGCCACTGGAAAACCTGTCTGCTGGGAGTAGAGCAAAACATGGTGCAGAGCTGGGAAGTTACAGCTTTGAGTCTCTCTGTGCCAAGAAGCTGGAGGAGCAGCTGTGTCTTTTACAGTTAGGGACAGCCTTCACACACAAACTTCGTGCATAGGATCCAGGAGAAGAAGAGAAAATCACTGCTGTCTTTGGGAAGGTAGCTAGGCAGCATCCTACGTAGAGGGGACTGAGGCCTCACTTCATTGAGGAAAGATAGTGTGCGAGTGGCTAGGAAGATGGTTGGGGAAGGATTCCCAGTCAGATGTTGTGGCAAACCTATCTAAATAGGCTAAATAGAAAAGCCATCTGCAATCTAATTTAAATGTGGTGTTAAAATTGTACAACAGGCCTTCTGTTAACACGGGTAGCATAACGGCATTTAGTCGTCTTTAAAATTCTACCCATAGTACTATAATGCACACAAGGCTTGTGTGCCATCAAGCCTTAATATTTTTTCCTGCAGTATTTAATCAGCACATGCATGCCCCAATCTTACACTAAAGCTTCTTCTTTTCCAGAAACTCCAGGAGTCTGGATGTATGGAACCACAAGAAGATTTGCAAGGTGTGTTTGAAGAGAAGCTGACCATATATGACAGAAGCCCTTCCCTGAAACATTCAAGCCTTCTTGATGAAAGTTTTCTTGAGTGTCCCAGGTGTAAAGTGCAGTATCCAACAAGCCAGCATAGAGAATTATTAGCACATATTGACTTTTGTACAGCTTGAGCTCCAAATGGATTTACTATATTTGCTTTATACACACTGCCAATATGCTCTCCTACAAAGTCAAAAGATCTTTTTAAAGCTTTTTTCTTAAGGTTGTATAAAGGACGACTAGTTTTATAATTAAGTTCCACAAAAATATTAATTTATTTGGCCTCAAATATTTTACCTGAACTTTTTGCAAAAACAGTTACTGGCTACTGCATATTTGGTTGCAAATGGAAATATTTTTACAATTAGGAATATCTTCAAATAGTAAACTACTGACTTTTTTTGCACTATTAAAAATGAGAACTGTTAAAGCACACCTATTGTCACACTTTATTTTAATGTTTGGCATATCCAGTTCTTGGTGAATCCTGATGATTTGTGCTTGTACATTAATAGCTGCAAAAGATTTGTGGCCCCTGTAGGTGCACTATATATATTTATATATACATGGGATGTGTGTGTATGCATAGTGTGTGGGCATCTATACACATACTGTATATATGTATCATATACATATGTAATGTATCACCATCTTGATACATTAAAACTCAGGAGGGTCATGTTAGATCTTTGCTGCTTAAGCTTCATGTTGAAAACATCAGTCATAAGTAGCTTATTGTCCTTGAACTGCAGCCAGGGGTGACTTAGGGCTCATATAAAAATGCTGACTGAGGTTTAAGCTCTTTTAAAAAAAAAAACCAAAAAACACAACAACTCATTGCTCACTGGGAAAACAAACTTCCTAGCAAATAAACTTCTTTGGTACTGGAAGAAGTTTACATTTCAGATACCATTTTTGGAGTTTGGATATAGAATTATGCTAAAGCAATCTTTTTTGTACTTCTGTATTTTAGAGGTTAAAGTTAGGAAATATCAATTATTCAATCTGTTACATTTGTCAAATGTCCCAGTTTAAAAGTGCAGTTAATAAATTGCTCTCATGGATTTGAAGTGTCACTGTATTTTGGTATTAATGCAGAAAACAAGTCAGCAATTAATTCTTGCAACAAATTAGAAACTAGCAAGAACTTCCCTTATGGATTTGCAATCAGTGTTGTTTTCCTCTGGTACCTACTCTAAACCTGGACCTGTTGCTAGCATTTTGCTCCTTGCACCTGTAGTGAAGTCCAACAAGCAGTTTCTCCCACAAAAATTATTAAAATGAGGAAATTTACAAAGATATGCTAGTTAAGATACATTTGCTGCTTTTGTAAGTTTATGGTTTGTTGAGCACAGTGAAATACCCAAGGTCTGTTTTCCTCTGGTATACTGATTCTGATTGCTAGCTAGTCTCAGCTTTTTCCATCACACTTTGCTGCAAAACTCTGTGCTTTTACCCTGTAATGTTCACCCTAATCTGAGGGTTAAATCTTATTCTTAAGTGAGGCTGTTTTTCAAGTTGTTTTCAATCACTATTACAACATCAAGTGATGTTATTCATTAAATCTAGTGTTTGTGAGAAAAAAAATGTTAAAAGCTATTATCTTTATATCTGCAATATCTTTGCCAAATCTATTGTATTAGCCACTATCTATCCATTTTTCAATTTCACTGACTGTCTCAGGCTAAGCTCTGTGTTTGACAATTTGTTCAATTATAGCAACAGCATTTCTGACTGAAGATATGATGAACTAATGTGTAAAACAACTTATGCTTCTCAGAATATCAAGGTTTTGCTATGAGGGAAATTGTCTTAATTTCATGTCTGTCTTTCTAAACATCTTTTAGATTCAGGATAATAACTATGCTTTTCATTGCAGCCTAATAATCTCTAATTAAACTACTTCTCAAAATTTTGGTTGTCTTTTAACAATGCATTAATCAGCTAGTATTCTATTCCCAGTTGCATACTCAGCATAGTTTCTGCAAAAGGAAATTTTGATCTTTTATGTATTATAGATGAAATAAGTTTGCCTGCTACAGGTCAGCAGTCTTCAGTAGTTCTGAGGCTTTCTTAAATTAGCATAAAACACTTTCTCATTAGAAGCTGGTACTGTAGAAGGAGACTCATAAAGTTGATAATGAGATAACCTTTAAAAAGTTTTGTTCATTCCAGCACCTCTTCTGAACTTTAACAATACATTTAGTCCTGCTTGCTAAATATTAGACTTAAGCGCAAAAACCTTACTGATAAATATATACACATCAGTGTAGTATATGTTGAAAAATACCAAAATGATGTTCTGATGTGTCAAAAGACTTATTTTGAAAGCAGAGCCACAACTATTGTCATCACTTACATGTGACTAAACCCAACTATAAAACTCTGACTCCATAAAGCATGCAGATAATATCACTGCTTTTTTTTCATTCTTCAGAAGCTAAGAAGGAGTCTAAGACTGAAAATTATTTTTAATCCTAAAAGTAAATGAACAAGAAAAAGATCTGCTGCTCCTATCTCTAGTTATATGTAAAAAAGAGGTTTGTGCTTAATGAGCTCATCTTAGTGCTAAGATAAGATTTAGCTGTAAACTTAGTTCTTTGTAAGGCAGGAAGTAATTTTTAAAAAGCTGTTATTTCAACCACTTTGTTCTTACAATTTCAGTAGTCTTTTTTTCTGAGTTATTGAATTTCAAGTAATTGAATTTCAACTTAGCAGAAATTCTGTGAAGTTGGCATCATTTGAAGATGTTGGTCTAGGGAAGCTTCTGGATTAATACAAGGGTTCACCTATCTAGCGTAATTATAAATCCTGGCTTCCACATACAGTGTTCTTTGTAAACAGCAAGTGAATTAAGTGGTTTTGAAGCAATGTTGTGTGGTTGGAAAGCCAGCTAAACTGTGCATAACAATTAAGGTTTTTTTACACAAGGAGAGCTTCTTGTGAAATAACAATTGAAATATGCCTCTTATTTTTCTTGTATCAAGTGGATCAACTTCTAATCATTTCTTTGCTTGCGCAACTTTCTCTTTTACTCTTGGTTTTGATAACCATCTTTACAGTTATTTGCCACATGCCAATAACTGTACTACAGATGTTTAGGCAAACTATGCAATAAACCACTTATGTTTAACTATGCAGATAAAAAGTAGCAGGGAGGCACAATGCTGGTTATGCTGTAAAAGAATCATGCTGAACAGCAGAAATATTTAGAGACAACGGATGTGACTGTTCACCTGGCAAAGAACACAAATGTAAATGTGCAGTGCTTTCAAGAAAACCAGGGAGATTATTGCTCTCGTGATATCTCTGAACCAACCAGAGACAGGTGGGAGTTTACAAGCGATGAAAATGTAGCAGTAGGGGAGCTCTAGACATTTCAATTTTAATCTGGCAATCAACCTGTCTATTACTTTCCATATCTTGTAATCTGATTGAACTGCTAAGATTACAGTAGCAGTTGTGGCTATGGCTTTACCTTAAAAATGACAAGCAATTACCTCTATCAAAGAAGAAAGATACAGTGTACATAGAGTAATACAAGCTATGTTACGTATGGTGGGACTGCGCAACTCGGAATACTACTTGCAGCATTTCTAAATCTTTTCCTTTCTCTAATTTGGAAAATGTTTCAGAATTAGGCAGCCAAGTGGTACTCCCTGGAGCAAGGGACGGTACTGCTGAAAGTCTCTGGGTGTTAAAAATATAGCCATATTGTCAGTTTGGGGGTCTGTTTGGGTTATTTTCGAGGCAGCCATCCAAAGCAAGCCAGTTGCATATCTCCCAGGGAAGGGCAGTGCAGGACCTCTCTGAAGTGACCTGCACAGTGAGCAATTGTGTTGGAGAATTCTGCAGTGTAGGTGGGATTTTAAAAGGCAGGGAAGGAAGTAAAAGCATGGTGCCTAACAAGGGGAAGAGAAGCCGAAGAATTTTAGACCAAATTAACCTAACTTCAATTCCTGGAAAAAACTTGCTGACATAGAACCAGCAGTGGGAATCATGTCATGCACCCAAGTTTTCTTAACTGAGCAAGTGCTGTGGATAGGGAAAAAGTAAACAAACTTGAACATGACTCAATATCCCACCTGCATGATTTTGCAAGTTTTACAACATGATGAATAAACAGACTTACATGTTTCACATGTAAGCTTTCATTTCTAGTCAATACAGATGAGACTTTTAGCTGGAATACTCCATCCAATTCTGAGTACTGTACTTCAAGAACAATTTAGACTAATATGAATGTAGTAGAAGTCTTTCAGATTTCTAATCAAATTCATGAAAGAATCAGGGTTATGCAGTCTAGAAAAGACCATGAAGAAAAATGACAAAATTTCATACAGAGGAAAGAAATAAAGTCTTCCTATGCTCAGTGAGAAGAGTGACAAGCTCAAAATTGCAACAGGAGAAATTTTGACATAAGGAAAATCTTTCTGGTGTTTGGAATAGATAAGCAGTGAAACACATCGCTTACAGAGGCTGCAAAATCTCCACCACTGGAGATTTAAAGGGACATATGTAACTATCTAAACCATTCCTGACAGATGAGTCTGCCTTGGGCCAGGGACATCAGCCAGATGATTTCTCACAGTTCCTTGAAGCCCCATTTTTAATGACACATATAGATCTGCAAACAACACACTATAAGATTTAAATTTAAAATAAAGCAGGTAACACAATGGTTGTTCTGCACTGACTCTTCACGTTATTTCACTCCATGCAAAATTAGTAGCTACTGCGCCAGAACTGAATATAACAGTTTAACTTCACCTTGTTTCTCAACTGGAAAATTATTGGCATTCCTATGTCTGTATAAACCTCTAGTCTGAGCAGACAAAGTAATTTAGACTCAGTATTTGCACTCGTGCATCTCAACCCTGCTGGAAAACAAGATAAATGACACAAGTGCAACTTGATGTCACTTAATTCCCTAGTGTTGGGAAGTGCCTTGCTCCCACATTGTTTTAACAACCAGTGCCATGGTGCCTGTTTCTTTGGCATTTGGGGAGTTGGGGCTCCCCTCCATAGGGTGCCCAGGAACAGGATTCACGAAGTGAGCATATTGAGTGGGAGCTACCCCAGCCAGCCAGTGGGAAATATGACTCCTCAAGAAAGGCTAGGTGCGCAGAAAGGAAGTGCTGTTGAGGATTCACAGATGTAAATTCTCTTCTAG